GGACGCAGACGCGAGAACCATGTCTACGCGGTTCCGCCAAGATTTTCAACGAACATAGGGTCCTGACCCGGGGCGATCGCTGCTTCTTCGGTTGCTGTTGTTCTTGGCTCGGGCTCCGTTTGCCTTCTCTGGACGGCTATAGGTTGGACGACCTGAGGGCGGTCCGGGGTATCGGGAATGACCTGGTCGTCTAGGGCTCGCTCTTGCTGGTTTCTGTCCATTTCAGAGCTTTTATCGTGAGTTGGAGAATTTCTTTCCCCCTACCTGGCGCGCCAATTGTTGATTCAGGTTTTCGACAATATATTTGTATTCGGAAAAGGATCGGAAATTCCGGTTAATTGATGCTAACTCGGAATAGGTTACGGCAAATATATTGTAAGTGACAGAAGAAGAGCTATGTATCGAGCTCAGAAGATGTGAGGTCGCTGTATTCTAGGTCATGGGAATCGAGGCCGGTGAATGCGTATCTGAGGTCGGTGGTTTCAAGACTGGAAGTCGAGGTCGTTGAATCGGAGATCGGGGCTGGATGCTGAGGGTATTTGAGGTCGGATTGTTTGTATGGAAAGCTATGTCATTAATCAATCGAACTTGATTAAGAGATTAATTCTTTTTGATGTCAGGGAATGATTGTTTTTAGCTCTCAAATTCTTTTATGCTTGTCTTAGAATCGAAAAAAAATATCTCTTCTACTTATGGGATGGGGCACCCTATTTATACTAAAAATAGAATGAGTAAGGTACTAGGTTTTCCTCGGGATCGGCGCCGACGTCATCATCTTCAGAAGATGACTGGGCCCCTTCTCGGGCCCGAGCCGCTGAGCACTAAAACAAGCTCGCTGGGCTTCTACCTTCTGGGCCGAACTCGTCGGGTTTCGGTCTGCTGGGCCTCTTCGGAAATGGGTTTCTAGAGTGACTACTGTTGAAACCCATGCCCAACAGTCCTTCACTGGTGAGACCCGGCTCCACTCACTAACGGCGGTTATTGACTCGGTTTCGATGCTCGTTTCCCCGCCTCCACCCTCCGCGGCAACAATCGAGACGGAGTTGTTCAACTTCCTAGCTTGGCGATGGAAGATCCTAGTCCGGACCCCCCGGACTCATGCTTCCGATCTCCTCCGCCGTCCTCCATCTTAGTCGGTCGGAGCTTCTCGGTTGCCTCTCCGGTGTTTCTCGAGTCTCCATCCGGACGGTCGTCGCTGGCCGGATTTGGCTTCAACCGCAATGCTCTACCGCTCGACAACTTATTCACCCTCCATCACCGCCGGTTTATGCCGAAGATCTCTCTGGATCTTAACGGCACCAGATCGGAAAGTTCGGATAGCTATCGACGGATAGTAACACCATCCCCTGGCTACGTTTCCCTTCGATTCGACTCAGTGTCGCAGCTCCATGGCCGAAGGTTGAAGAGCTCTTACTCTACTCCCTCGCCGCGAGCCCGTGTTACTGTATTGGGCCCATCCAATCTTCCCCTTTCCATCGCCGGCCATGATCCCCGCTCCAACAAAGGTGTTGATGAGCTTCTGAATTGCAGTGTCCCGTCACCGTTCCTGGTGGTGGTTTGCCCCGAGCACTCACCGTCACCGTCTGCCGATACACTGGATTCCATCGCGACAATAACAACAACAAAGTTTGGGCTTGGGCTGTTCAATCGAGTGGGCTTTTAAGCCCAAAATACTTCCCCTTGGCCCATACAAAAAGCCAACAATGAGATGTATAAGGGGTTGAAAATCAACACAGATTTCACCTCAATGTTTTTTGATTCTGATACTTTCTGTTATGAGAGTAAATTAAAGTTTTTAAATTCTCAAATCATGTAGTTTTTAGTGATTACATCTCTTCTATTGTGAGAAGACACAAGTTTTCTGGGTTCTTAAACCCTGTAATTTACTCCTGGTGGAAGAGTCCAATTCCACATTCTTCCAGTTCGCTGAGCATAGTCGTATCTTCTTCCCTCTCATGGAGAGTGGTCGAACCCTCGTGCTTTATGCCGAAACTTCAAAGTCACATGGTAAAGTGACTAACCTGAGATTCTCCGGCTTTGCCGCGAAGATCCTCTTCACGTATCCGAGACATGTTTTGGATCGCTGTCCATCATTTGCGATGATCTATCTGCTTTATACTTTATTGTTTCTAAATTATGCTGTAGTAATTCTGGAGGATGTTTAATTCCCTCCCTTTGTATTTTAATCGATTAAATGAATTAAGTAACTTGTTAATTTGACAAAAAAACAAAAAAAAACTAAAGAATGGGATCAATTCATCAAAAACAGGAAAAAAAAAGTGCATATAGATATTAAACTTTTCATTTGAATACTAATGTATAAATTTCATGTAATTAAAATGAATGATACAAATAAAAATCTTTATGAGCTATTTTTCATTTATGGATAGACATTTCTTTTCATTTATTGATAGACATATCGTTAACCAAATGTTATACTTCGAAGGTAAATGTGCAGCACTTTACATTTGATAGAAAAATATACCTAGTATTATCCTAGCTAGAAAAGAGCAACAAACTTGGTAAAGTTTCAACGAGGGAGTAATAAACTTGGAAAATAAGCAACAGCTACGCCATAGTAACCAGAATAATACAAGTGATAAACCGGAGAGTGAGGACGAAGATCAAAGGCGACGAGGTTTTTTCGATAGCTAAGCGAGAGGATGACCTTATTGGTGTCCTTGGAAATGGCCAAAGGTGTGAGAGGCTCGGAAGTGATACCACCAAACCAAGCGGAAGTAGAATGCAAGTCGACCGTGAAGATTTTCTCCCATATTGTCTTGTCTTTAGCCCTGCACCAAAATTCTTGCTTACACTGCTCGTTCAAAAGAGAAATGCAGAGACGGCGATCGAGATTGCATACACCAATTTTGTCACCAGAGACATCAGGGATAATAAAAGGTGGGTTTGGGATGAGTTGAAAAATCTCTGTATGAATATCGAAAACTATGAGCTTGGTTTCTTGTGTTGGAAGTCCTTTCTCCATCTCCCGTCGTGATACAGTAGAATGATTTATCTGCAAATGCTGGCCTCTGACTATACATTATGTAGTGATGATCATCATCAAGACTAGTGGTATTCACGAACCTCCATTTTTTTTCCTTTAAATCCAAAACCTCGCATACGGTGGAACTAGGACAAATATCAGCTCTGTCACAAGCAGTAAAATCTATGGCTCCTCTTAAAAAAAATTTATGGAATCTTAAGCGATATCAAACACTTATCTTCTC